AAACACTAACCTGAATAGTCCTTAGCAGAAAATGATACAGATTTCTTAGACTGGAATTTTGACAAACAAGCAAAACCAGTTCACTGACAAATGGTTTTAGACAGTAAATTTAATGAGTCTTCAATTAAGCAGACTCTAAGGTTTATAGAACAAGGATGATACTGCTGAGGTTCACTTCTTATTCAGTGGGAACTCAAACTAAGCAATATTAATGCTATATATATTTTCAAAGGAAGTTTATCATGACATTTCATAAAAGCATGATTTCAACATAGATTTCATCTCCTTTTATTTTTTCTCTTTCAGTGATTTTTCAAAGACTGGACAAAACCATGCAGCCCCTGGAATGAACTGTGTGGGGCTCTTTCTATGACAGACTGTCTGACTGGACTTTTACTATTGCTTAAAAATATGAACAACACTTAAGCTTTGACTTTATCATATAACTCTGGGTTATGTTCCAATAGATTCAAAGTATTTTCTTATTTTATAATGCCCTTGTGCTAGTACTTGTAATTTCCTTTATTATTTATTACTGAATCTTATTAAAATACTAAATATGTAAGTGAATAGTTTGATGATACGCTATTATTTCATATAAATTTGACACAGTGTGGTGGGAAACACAAAAAAGCTATGTAGTCTTAAGTGTACTTCTTTTTTCCCACTATCTAAATATCAGTGCTGTGAAAACTAAAACCTAAGCAGTGAAGAGCTGGATATTTAATCTCAAAGATAGGAGAAGCACCAAAGTGAGGTTTGGAAGTTTACTTGTTTAAGTTAGTTATTGAGTTGGTAAAGAAATGTGTCTTATGTGACCATTGGGAGGTCATCCATCTTGTGACTTACTCAGCTTGGAAAATGTTTCTAATCTTTCTGAATGATCAGTGAAGAAATACCTTGGTCATGCCACTTTTACAGCCAGTGATCAACCATTGATGCAGGATTAAGAGAAAACTGAGGCAAGCCAATGAAAATGATGAATCAACAAGAATCATCAAGAAGCCTGGAAACCAGGATTTATCAAGAATGACCGAAAAAGCAACAAAAAGCAAGATGTTGCTTCATACCCAAAGCTTGTCTTTTTATGTACTTCATCTCTCTACATCTATCCTATATGTCTCTACAGGAAGATACCAAATTTGTCTCATTTAGGGATATATATTCTGAAGCAATGTCTTAGCATTTGAAGTATTTTATTTAATCTGCAGCAGTTAGCAAATAAAATAATAAAATTTAAGTTATTTAGTACCAAAGAAAACTGGTGATTATGTAGCTGGTTTGGGTTTGAATTATTGTGGATCAGGTGGATTTTCAACTTGCCTTTGTAGTTTTTATAAGTATTCTGTAAAGAAAAAAATAATTATGTCTCTTACAAGTACTGAATAATGATTTTGTCTAGAGAAGCATGCTGCAAACAAACAATTTTGCTTCAAGTCTTTCATTAGACTTCTCAAAGAAACAAAGTCTGCAAAATATGGGACAGAGGAAATTTGGAAGATAGTGTTGATATTGGCAAAGATTTCCACCTCACTCACACGTGATTTTTGATGTCGGAATTATTTTAAAACATAACAAAAGATAATAATTAATGTGGTTTATTTTATGAAATCTCTGTATACTCATCTAGTCAAAATTCTGGTGTAACTTCATGAAGCATAACTAGGAGCTAACATACACAATTTGTACTTAACAAGTACAAAGCAAATAAAGGAACTGATTATTTCCAGAATATGAGAACAACTTAAGCGATGAAAGCCTTCTCACTAGATGTTATGACTGATCATAGGTTTACCCTGCTCTAAGCAAGACTCAAAATAGTTATTGAAAAGAAATCCACTATGGGTTGCTAAAAAATAAGGAATATCATAGTCTTCCTAAAGCAACTTCTTAGAGGCTGGGCAAATATATCAGGAAAGCATTGTACATAGTTGTTTAGAATCTATATTCTTCTTGAAAAATTATTTTGACTTATCACTAGGAATGGAATGCTGGGACAGGGGGGTCTTCAATTTGACTTTGTAGATCTGTTCTTATAGTTTCACATTTGCTTCATTTTTCTGGCCTTTTCTGCATTGAAATTCCATTCTTCCTTTATCAGTTTCCTCACAGGATTAACCTGGTGATCAGGTCGTATGCCACTGCTGTTGTCCTTTATTTGGTATGAAAACTACAGGGTGCATAAAAGTTTGTTTGTATGATGTGGAGACATTACCTGCTCTGGATGATGTGTTGTGTGGTGCAATCTGACTCCTACTCTGTCACATGGAAGTCATCTCTTTGTTGCCATGAAGTTGACAAGGTAATCATACCTTGTCACTGGAATGCAACAATAATTGCTATTACAACCCATGTGCTTGACTAGCATTTCAAGGCTCAGCTCAAGAAATTATTTTTTCTTGCATATTATATAAATGTATTGCACATGCTGTTTTATTTCTTGAGATGGTGTACATAATTCACTGTATTATGTACAGTGAATCTCGGCTCCATCGAACAGGTCATTACAAATCCTTAGAAAAGTTTGAAATAATTCATTCAACCTGCAGATGCAGGCCTACATGCAGAATTCTCAAAAAATTTGCAATTCTTTCTGCCCGTCCAAATATCTACACATGTAACTGTCTGTGTGTTTTGATTTATGCTTCAAATCTTTTCTATTGAATGATGGCTAATACTAGCTTTGCCTCATCCTGCATCAAGCAGTAAGCATGCGACAGAAAATTATATGAAATTTCCTTTCCTTTCCTTTATATTACTATTAAAGATATTCTCCCACATGAGAAAGGAGTTTCCACTTGCTCCTTCAACACCACTTCCACAAAACACAGACACAGATGCTTGTAAAAGATTGCATTCATACATCATAGCTGCATTTTCAAGTTTTAGATTTTTTTTCATCTCTCTCGGCTAAAGAGTTTGATTCTAAATTATGGGTCAAATCAATGATTTTGTTCTCATGTTTTGTTTTGGTTCTCCTATGAATGTAATAAAAATTAAAAAATGAAACTGATCTTGAATTGATGGGGAAGTTGCCAAGCATGTAAGCTATTCATAAGAAACATAATATAAAATAACTGCCCCTTTCAAATTTTCAAACAGTGAAACTCTACATTAATAAATAAAAGAAATAAATGCTTGAAGAGCAGCTACTCAGAAAGGATTTTTAACAACCTATGGATATGTCTATAATTCTCAACTGCTGTTAGAATAAATTTTCTCTTGGAAAAGGATATATTTAAAGAAAATAGTTGTTTTTCAGGATTTTTTTTATGCAATAGGCATCAAATGAAAAGAAAGTGAAGGCAGATTTTGAAGACTGATGAACTTGATAGGAGTCCAAAAATTATTTCAATATCTATGTGGCAAAAGTTATTGTAGGTTCCATTAAAACAAATCACTGTCTAATATTCTATTCCTGGCATGTAAATCATTTGACTACCATCCAAAAAAGAACAGCATTACTCTGCATTGACCTGATTTATTATACAATGGAAAGAAGAACACAATTTCTCCATCTCTAAAAGTATTTTTCACATGGAATGCTTCATACCTGAATTTATTTCAATAGATAATTAGGATATGTTGAGCTTATATAGTTTTGAATTTCCACATATCTTCTTTGTATGGAGCATTAAACCTTCTCAGAAAGAGGCAACTTTGGTTTGATGTGTTAATTATGCAAATGAGACACAGCTGTGAATAACAGACCTGAAAGTGGACAGGTGATCAGTAAAATTATTTTGTCATGTGCTTAAGAATGTGGCTTAGGAGCAGTCAGTAAAACCTGTTGCCTATGCTGGATTCACCATGATGGCATGCTGATGTTCTCAGGGGCTGGAAAGGTGTCCAGGCAGTCTAGGAGGTTTGTTTTACATCACAGGGAACCAAATGTTAAGAGTTATCTTTCAGAGAAGACTTTGCTCACTGGTGTATAGAGCCACCTTGTACCTGTCAATTTATGTGGCAAGAGGCACAAATCCTCCTCTCATTAGCCTACTTAAAACATTGAGTAATCAATTACTATAGAAATATTGAAATAATTAAAGTTCCTGTCTAAGACAATGTCAGGTGCACATTTCTGTACAACACACAAGTTGGCTGCATGGTTTCAGGAGCTTGTGTCCCACAAGCTGGGATATGTAATTTCTGGGTGTAAATCAAGCCCAGATGATGAAAAACTTCAGAAGAACATGTAAATCTATCTTGTACTTCTGAGAAGGTACAAAGGCACAAGATAAAATGTCTATGTGAAATAAAAATATCTACATGAAAAAATGCTACTCTTTTCCATCCAGTGTGCTCTCTGTAGGTCCAGAGATAAGTCACAACCTAGTGGGTTATTCCCATGAGGTAATTCATAAAATAGGGAGCGCTAGCTTGTCATTACTGAGGTCTTAGAAAGGAAACGAAATGGTTTTCCCTTCCCATAAGAGCCTGCCTTTTCCCCATGCCACCAGCAATATACTCAGTGTGATGCCATGTCAATCCCAGAAGTGAATTATCTATTTTCTTCAATATATCTGCTAACTAGTTTCAGGTTTTTATAGTTTTAGCTAGTTCTCACAAGACAGACTACAAGTGAAGATTTAGGGATTAAAAAAATATCAAAAAGCATTTTCTCTACTTTGAGGGCTGGATGGGAAGAGAAATAAAAGGAAACCTGAATGCATATGCATTAAAATAGACCATTATAAAAGCAGCTAAAGCAATTGTTCTGTCTTCTGTGCAAATAATTGTTCTAAATAATTTGCTAAAACTTCAGAGTTGTAAATTTTTATTTTTATCCCTTTCACACTCTTGAAAATATAAAGTATAAAATAAAAGAGAAATTCAATGAACAGAGAGAAAACACACTGAAAGCTCTTTATCCAGATTGCCATTTAATGCCTTCCTCACTTCTCTTATTGTAGAAAATTAATCTTTCATTTAAAACCTGTTGCCACTGCAGCCATTCCAATACTTGTGCTCTTTTCTCTCTCCTTTCCATGTGTCCCATATTTCCTCCCACAGGCCTGAAGATTACAAGTCGTGTATCTCACCCTACCTGAACAGGTGTTGTGCCCAGGTGTCCACAAGGCTCAGACATCAGCCTTTGCCTCCATGGAAAACTGATCTAGGACTCCTCCCTGTACTCACCATTGACTTCAACAAAATCTGCAGAAATTCCAATCTTTGAGGCATCTACTCTGTTGTATTTGATCCAAACTTGCCAGCTCCAGGTTCCTGGAGGAATGAGAATGAGAAAAAGCAGCCAATTCTGTAGGATTCTTTCCTTAGGCACACACAATACAAGGGAGAGTGATGACAGCACGTACAACATTGGGTCAAAAAGCAGCATTTCATGAAATATCTAAATGTGTTTAGGCACTTCTTAAATGCCTATTAATGGAAAATACAGAGACAGAGCAATGTACAGACTGAATAAGCTGAACAATTTCCCCCAAAATTACCTACTAAATGAGATTCTATGACATTTTTGTGACAAACTCTAAATCATTATATAGAAAAAGCAGAGCAGAATTCTGTTGCATTCCTCTAGTGCTGGCCACCAGAACCACCTCACACTTCCCCTCTTGATGGGGGCCACTAAGAATCTATTAAAATCTGACTATTGATTTACTCAGATGGAATGAGATTTTTATACATATGTTGTGATCTGAGGTTAAGTGTAAGCACAGGAAGGTCCTAAAACATATTCTTAAGATATATTTAATGCTGATGGACCATCTATTTGGCAAGAACTGCTCCATAATGGGAATAGATTGGTCTATTCCAGTAAAACATGATTTCTCCTCTCTCTTTTCAGCATAAAAAAAGATTAATTATTACAATATTTATCCTATTTCTTCAAAATTAAGCATCAGCATGTGCTGACATGCTTAGTTATTGATGCCACATTCTACAAAATACTGCTTTTGTGGGGATACAGACTTTAGAGCTTTTGAAAATAGATGAGTAAATTTTCATTTTCACCTTGTAAGGTCAGTATGATGTAATTAAAAACTTCTGAAGACCTCAGAAGAGAAGAGTTTCAACAGTGCAAGGAGGAAAACGACAATCTTCCAAGAGCCGCTAAGCAAGCTTCATTTGACTTCAAGAGGATGTTTTAATGAAGAGCAATAAACAACATTTCTTCCCAAAATTAGTTTGAAATTATATGAGACTGTCACAGAAAATTTCATCCCAACTGAATAACATTCAAACCCCAGCCCAGTGCTGTCAGACAGCTCTATAGAGGTAACTGCATCATAGAAAGGCAACTGAAGGTAAGATTTTTTCTAAAGCATCTTGTTGTCATGCTGACAATATCAGCAGGTTTTCATGCTTGACCTCGCCCCAATCTAATCATACTCTGACAATCTGCTACATAACACTTTTGTGGCAACCTCTGTATCTTCCTCATTGTTTAAATGCCCTGTAGAGTGGATTTCTCCAAGGAAAGTACAACGTGGGGAAGAGAGGGGATAAAATAATTTGCTGCCTATACATACTGTTCTAGCTGTAATTAGTAAGATGTGAGAATGTTCCGCTTCATATCCACAAGAGATGTTTTCACTATGAAATGAAATTGAATCAATAAACCATAACAGTTAAACAATTTCCAGGAAATAAACAGACATGTTAATAATATATCTAAGCATATTTTGGACTTCCTGATTTCTTAATATACCTAAAGGTACTACTAAAGAGAATGGGTTCTTCAGTTGAGGGCTGAAATACTTTACAAGGAGATAAATCTTATTCCTAGTTTTTCCAAGTTTAATTTTGAAGGAATCATTTTTACTTCTGTCTTCCAAAGTTTAAACTTAGAACTCATTAAATGAAAATTTTTCTCAAATTATGTAGCAGAAGTTCCTCCACAAGATTTCATATGATTCTTGGCATTGCTTACAGCATCTCAGACTTTCGAGAGCAATGTGACTTCTTTTCAACTTTGTTTAAAATACAGGTTTAATTGTCCACTTTGAAATAAGAGATGCACCAAGATTACAGAGTGTTCTATTTCTGTGGCCTCCATTATGTTTCTTTGGGAAGAGTAATCCAAATCAGATCTTTGTAAGGAGGGAAGATTTCCTGAAACTTTGATGGAATGGGATTGAAACTTCAGAGAGTGCAAAGAGAATTCCAGCTGGGAAAATACATCTTATTCAAAGACAGAAAAACTAAACTAAGGGATAAAAACATAAGCCTCCAACAGATTGAAATAATTGTTTCTAGAGACAAACTGCATTACAATTTGGATAGTCCCATGTTAACAAAAAACAAGGATCCGCCTTGGCAAATACATAGCAAGTAGGGGAACAGCTAACATATATATATATATATATGTATTGCATAAACTTATTCTGTTCAAACCAGTACATTTAAGCATTCTTTGTCAAAAACTACCTAATAGTTTTTGCTGACAAAATAGTTACCCTGCTGACATAGTAAGGAAACAGGTTTTTCTTTAATTTAAAAGCCCATCCTTCCTTAGAGTGTTTGGCACCCGGAAGTCTCAGCAGTTCTTTCCCAAGTTCTATACAACTTGAATTGTCCAACACAATATTTTTCCTTTTTATAATTTTTCTGAGGCAATTAATTTCCAACACAAAATATGTAAAATTTTGGTTAGAAGAAACTATAACCAAACCTGGCCACCCTCAAACTCCTTTTTAAGCTAATGGTCTCTTCTGTGAGTGGAAAAATATAGGGGGGGGCATAAAGAGAAGCATATGTAATGCTTATTACACTAGAAAAATTGAATTTATTTAAATCCTGAAAAGATTTGCATAACATTGGTCTACTTTGTACTTCAGATTTGAGTTTTTATTAATATGTCATCTTCCCTCATGTTTCTGTGGTTCCTTATAACTGGCTTCAAATAAGTGAAAACATCCTTTCTTTTTCTACCACCTGCCTCCTGACCCATAGGTAAGAATATTTAAATTGGTGAGTTGTTCTTGCACAGTTATAAGACATTTCCTCACAATATCTGATCTATGAACAGAACAAGAAAATGAGAATGTGACTATCTTAGACTCCAAGGATTAAACCTTTGAATTGTGAGAAAGTTTGTCTTCTCTCTTGTCTAGACTGGGCTATTGCATACTATTTATGAGAGAGAAAGAATACAAAAAATCCATAGCCCAGCAATAAGGATCATATGAAAATTGCAACTTACTTTCCAGTCTTCCTACAACTCTGAATTACCAAAAGATCTTGTAATGTTTTAAAAAGAAAAGGTATTATATTTCTCTTAGGGGCCTGTCTTCCCTTATTTTTAAAGATTATCCCTTCCCTAGTCCCTAACAAACTAGCTCCTTCATGATTTATAGATATTCAGCATATACATTCTATATATAATAAGAAAATTTATATTTGCTTAGTTTGCTGATGAAACTCTTCCTTTTCTTCACCCTTAGAAGAAGAGGAATAAATATCATCTTACTGTCTTTAATAGACTGTCAGATATTGGAATTGAAACAAATGGGCTCTCCAGGACTCCAAAATGCTGAGCCAGGAGTTCTGACTGCTGGAATAGCAGTGGGAGACTATCAGTATCTTCTGCAGAAGAGCTGAAATTCTCTTTTATTCCTTTTAATGGAAATACATTAGAAATATGTTTTATCTTTTAATCTCTAGAAAACATGGGATTAACTCTTTTCTCTCCCTCAGTGCACATCCTTGGGAAAGCCTTCTGTTGACTTTCTCAAAGTGTGGAGTAAAACGTCCAATGAAAACCAAACAAAATGTTGTAGAAAAAGATTAAGTACCCAAAAAATGCACTATCTCAGTTTACTTATTGATTAGAATAATGTAGTTATATTTCTATTGCCTTTGTTTTTAAGTTGAACTTTATTATTGACAGATAACTTTGATTTAATCCCCCCCCCCCCCCCCCCATAATTTTCCTATGCTAAAAAAACATCTGCAGTCCTCACTTTTGTATGAAGCAAAATTAATACATTGTCTCTGTAAATCTAAACTGGGTATCTATGGTCTCTATTTCTGGTGTGACTTACTTTTCTGTTTTTCCCATATGTTTGAAATGCAAGTGCACCTCTGATCTCTCATGTTACAGTGTTAAACTGTCACTAAAAATCACATTTTCCATTGATAAAATTGGTGGAGACCAGTAATCAAGCCCCTGACATTACTTTCAGGTACCAAATTGAGTTTGTCTGCACAGCAACTAAAAAGCTTTTGGGTTTGGATATGCAATGAGCAGATTCACTATAGAAATCACTGAAGGAGAATAAATCTGAAATACCATCATTTTTTTACCATAATAATTTCTCAAGGACAGATTATTCTTAAGTTTTAAAATGAAAATCCAATTTGAATGCCAGGTGGGAGCTGTGCAGAAGGAAAAGTGCAAAGCAGATGTACCAACATTTTTCTGCAGGAGATAAAGTGCAGAACTGACGCACAGATTCCTTATATATGCTTAGGTCACTAAGAAAAGAGAAGTGAATAGGAGAAGTAAAGAAAAGCTGATGGACTGTGACATTTCTTCTGTTTATGTGTCTACTTCACTTGACAGTTATTAAAGTTGTTCTCATGTTTCAGGGAGCCTTTTCCAATTGCCTGTACATGTAAAAGCTTTCAAGAGAAATACAATGTATCACTTCAAGAGTTCCACGGTTTAAAGTTTTTCCTATTTAGACCTCTACTTTATACAGATTTGCCAGGCAGAGGGAGAGCACAACGATTGACTTGTTCTGACACTTTCTATTGCAGCATCTCTCCTGAATTTTTCTTATGCCCCAGATGCTGCATCTTTACATAATGACAGTGAAAAACAAGCACAGCATGGCTTTCACATTTCAAACTACGTGACGTACTTCATTTCCCTTTGAAAGCACGTGCCTCATTTGACAACATTTATTTTTGTCAATGCAAAGACAAAGATGCTTGTTCAAAGGCAGTTGGTAGATGACACAGAAATAAAGGATGATGGCTGAGCTAAATGAGAAAATTACAGATATAATTTTGAAAAATATGGAAACCCAACACATACAATGCAGATGACACTTCAGGAAATTGCTTCATATTGAACAAAATTTATTCAAGAAAGATGCCTACCAACCCATCCTTTCACAAGGATATAGGTGTTAAGGTTTGGCTTCAAGTGAAAGTTATATCATTTAGATGCCATAATGTACTTTTTGTAAAAGGGAGAAAATACAGCTGATGCTTCTCCTGGGCTGGATTAGTCCCAAAGTCTTTAAAGACTTAAT